CTTCGGCTCAGGTCATGATCCTGGAGTCCCAGGATCGAGTCCCGCATCGGGCTCCCTGCTCGGCAGGAAGCCTGCTTCTCCCTCTGACCCTCCTCCCTCTCATGCTCTCTGTATCTCATTCTCTCTGTCTCAAATAAATAAATAAAATCTTTTTAAAAAAAATTATTCATAATAAAGTTTGGAAAAGTTACCTAATAAGAAAAAGTTAGAATCTTTCTTCCACCTGAAATATAACAGGAAATAGGTCAATGAGAAATAAGCCCTCCCCTCCCCCGTACTTTTCATGTAACGGTCTTAAAACCTCAGCTCTGCTTTGATGGGCAGGACCTGGGACCAGGCTATAGAAGTTGGGTCCCCTGTAGCTGGAGAGAAATGCCTCCTCCTGGGACAGTGCTCTGCCATCCAGGAAGAGAAATATGGGTCAGGAGGAAGTCCTGCTTTAGTAGGAGCCATGAACATAGGGTAGCTCTACCACTGAAGAGCAGGCATGGTTGCACTCACCACAGTCTTCTCCCTGGGGGCCAGGTGGGGGAATGAGGTAGGTGAGTGATTGGGGCCATAAATACTCTTAAGTTTTTATCCATAAACCCAACATGTGAGTTATGGTTTTTTTTTTTTAATCTGTGTCTTACTCAATTTGGGCTACTCTAACAAAATACCACAGGCTGAGTGGCTTGTAAACAAGAGAAATTTATTTCTCAACAGTTCTGGAGGTTGGAAGTCTGAAATCAGGATGCCAGCATATTTGGGTTCTGATGAGAGCCCTCTCTGGGTTACAGACTGCTTGTTGTACCCTCACATGGCAGGGAGAGAGTGAGAGAGCTCCCTGAGACTCTTATATAAGGGCACGAATCCCATTCACGAGCATTCTGTCCTCATGATCTAATCCTTTCTCAGAGGCCCCACCTCCTAACACCGTCACATCAGGGTTAGCGTTTTCCCGTATGGATTTGGGGCCATACAAACATTCTGTCCAGTGCAGTGTTAAAGTGTTTAGTTTATCCATGGGGGTTGGGGGGATGCACTAGGGAGGATTGGGGTAGACCCTGAACTTGGAAAGTTAGGCCACAGAACTCACTCTGCCACAGGCTTTAATGTCTCTTTACAACTTTAGTGCCAGTGACCCCACTAAGTGAGCCTCTGGTCAGAGACTGGCTGGTTGATGAAAAGCCTGTGGGAAGCGTGGTGTGTTCTCCTGCTTCTTTCCTTTGGATCAAACCATTCTTCTCATCCCTCTCTTCCTATTTAGAGACCTAGCTCAGAGACCATAGCCCCCCTTGTTCTCAGCGTGGGCATCTAGGATGTTCTCACGTGGTTCAACCGCTGTGGCTCTCTTAGGCTCTCTCATTTAACTGCAGCAGGCCATGTGTTGGCTGTTCTCAAGTACTTGTTCTTTTGTGCTTTTGTGGATTGATGGCACAGATACTTCAACCCTGTGTACATTTTGACTCAATGTTTGTTCACATGAACATAGTGAAAATTATACCATTATTGAATTTTTTGTGAAGAAAGCAAAATCTGGGGTGCATAGCATTAGGGCAGTTTAGTTAATGGAGTACATGTTGATACTCCAGAGCTAAATTTTTCAGTTCTCTTTTCAGTTTTGTTTTGTTCAAAACATTCTCATCAAATTCATATCTTTTTGATGTAAATATTATAATCTATTGAGCAGGTTTTAGCTTTGTGCAATGTCACTGATGATAACTTACAGTTTTTCATTTTTTCCCACCAAGCCTCATTTTTTTTCCTACCAAATAGTTTTGCAGTTTGTAGTATTAGAAAAACCTATATCCCATTTTGCCTGTACAGTTTTAGCTTTTACCATTTTAGTTTATTTTGTTTGTTCCTCTTAATAATAGTTCTTATGAAGTGGGTAAAAGAGAGATGGTCTTTCTTAGCTAGTCAGGGGGGAAATTGGGAAAATTTCCTTGGCACTTCTAGTGGCAGACCTTGGCAGTACAAAGCATCACCACAAAGAGGAATGTCACAGCTTCATGATGTTCATTAACGCAAATAATGAGAAAGTGTAACTCCCCTAATTTTTAGATTTCTATTTATCATCTAAATTCTACTATACGTTAGTATTCAGTGATAAAAAATACCATTTAAGCTATGCAATTTTATACTTTTTTCTAAAAGCAGACCTTGATTTCCTAAGGCTTCTGGTAGACTATAGTTAAATGATCAAAATACGTTTTCCCATGCAAGCCTACTTTACAAGCATTTTCAATACATGTGTAATGAAGAGCATGCAGCAAATTTCCTCCAAACATCTCCTTCCAAAATTGGGATTCCTATTAAAGGCCTGTGCATCGGACACACCAGCATATATAGAAGTTGATTCTGGCTTCTTTGTTGGTCATCTGCTCACCATTTTGGCTGCCAGAGTGCACTCAAGAGGAAAGGAAGAGGTTCAGAAGTCAGAGTTTAATAATGTCCTATTATTAGTAGGGAGGAGAGAATAAAGGACAGAGCGACTGCTTACCTAAGACCCACTTCATGATGAGCATTTCTGTCCAGGAGAATTGTGTGGTTTTCACTCTGAAGATCTGTTTCGGGTAGTCTGTGAAGGTTTCGTTGGGCAGGTTTTTAACGCCTTCAAAGCGGTCTGATGCATTCACAACTAACAATCCCAAAAAGATTGTAAAAGAAACTGCATGGGCTACAAATTTCATGAAGGGGCTCCTCAGGGTTCTTCCTAGCTGGAAACAAAATATGTACAAGACATGTTAAACTGGCATCTGTAGGCGGGTGTAGGTCTCTCTTTAAAATGCTTTTGCCAAAGTTTAACTAGAGAATCTTCCATCATGGACAGAAGCTGCTAACTGAACCCAGACAACCTTTTCTCTAGCACTCCCTCATGAGTTACTGCTTAGCCAAATGTATTTCCTATTGAATTCAGTTTTTTCCTATTTAGGAGATTTAGTGGGAGTGGTTTAAACAGGAGTAGAACACAGTGACGTATCATCATGCTATAATCTGCACGGCTTCTCCCAACCACATGGATATGGGTCTTATGCCATTCACATCTGGAAAAAAAAATAATTTATCTCAGTAGAGTTCAGAATTTAAAGAAACACATGTTGGATATGCTCTGTTGCTCTTTGGTCCATTTTCCTGAGTTTTGGTTTTTTATGATTTGTTTTCACTATTTCTTATATGTGGGTAAATTTACTTAAAGCTCTACACTTCCCACTGCTTTAGCCATATTACAAGAAATTTTGACAGGTAGGGTGTTCACTGATACTCAGTTATCAATATTTTGTAACTTCTCTTTGGATTTCATTTTTAAATCACAGGTTAATTTCCGGACGTAGAGGACTTTTTCCTTGTACTTTAAAAAATTCTCTTTTTATTGGTGCATGTGTGTAGATCATAGCCTCTTTGATACTACTCTAAAACTTCCTGAGGTTTCCCTTGTGACTCTAGCGCATAATTGAATTGTGTGGTTGTTCCATGTGAGCTTGAAATGATCCAGAAGATGCCCCGTTAGGGAGCAAGTATTGGCCACATCTTCTCTGGCCCTGGTGTGCCATCCAGGGGCTACTTTGGTCTTTGAGGACTAAACTGTGGGCCACCCGGTGAGTCTGCTGACCCCTGTTAATGAACTCTTGTGAGTCCTTACTAGATCACTGCTATCACTTGCACCTAAGTACCAAATGTTCACATTTCGCCTCATTCAGGAGTCCTAGAGTGAAATGTCACCTGGGACATAGAGTATTGGTTCAGTAGACGATCAGTTACAGGGGTCTTTGCAGGTAAAATTTCCCTAATTATGACTATGTTCAATGTAACATTTATAAGTCAGAAGGCTTGATAATGTTCTTTTAATATGCTTTAGCATGGTAATCATCCACTTTAATTGTTCTGATTATTAGTGTAACATGATTTATTATGATTTTTTAAAAAGATTTTATTTATTTTTTTGACAGATAGAGAGAGACAGCAAGAGAGGGAACACAAGCAGGGGGAGTGGGAGAGGGAGAAGCAGGCTTCCCGCCGAGCAGGGAGCCCAATGCGGGGCTCAATCCCAGGACCCTGGGATCATGACCTGAGCCGAAGGCAGATGCCTAACGACTGAGCCACCCAGGCCCCTGATTTATTATGATTCTAATGCCATAGAACCTATCAATTGAAATTAAAAAAATGTTACAGTAATTTTTAAAAAAAAACAGCATCTCAGGTCTAGACATTGGGAATCCCTACTATGCTGGAAAAAAACTTATTTCCATTCATTTGCATTGTCAGATGTCATATGGCACTAGATCTAGTACCTGAAAACCATGGAGCTTACAGACATTTTATAAATGGCCCTCCTTTGTAATGTTTAACTTCATTATTTACAAAATTGGACTGCAGATTAGTTTTGGCCATGGGTAGATACATTAAATTCAGAATGCACAGGTTAAATGTAAGGACAAATGAAACATCTCACATAAATTCGGTAAGAAAACTGAATTCAACCATGTCTCATTTTGATTTATATATCAAATAGCTAGTTTGAATTTTTCAGCATTTTAGTTGACTCTGTTCAGATCTTGAAGCCCCATTTCCCAGCCAGAATCCTGGTGTACCCAGGAGACATCCTTAAATAGTCCCAGCTTCCTTTCTCGTCACCGTGTCCTAGTTGGGGCAGTGGTGAGAGGCGAGGGAAGATGGAACCTGACCGTAGGGTGGGGAATGGGGAGGGCTGAGCAGAAGGAAAGGGATGCCAGATCTTGTGTGTCCCAGCAGGGTTCCAGAAGTGTCAGAAAAAGCTGGGGACCATGGAGATAGACCCAAATCTTAAGGGATTGATGGCCAGGTTTCCCATCCTTTATCAGTGGGCTCTACACAGTATCTTCCAGTGACAACCTGGATGAAGATATGGGACACTGCTCCTTCTTCTCACCCATGGGAGGCACCTAAGGTAGGAAGCTGCATGTAGCTGAACCTGAGCTGGCCTTGGGATTCTCCAGAAGATGTGGTTTGAGGCATTTAATGTTCCGTTTGTTACCTCCTTCAGGTTGTTATTGGCTGGCAGAAGAGGAGTCTGTAAAAATTACTGTATCTAGAGCAAACATAAGACAAAACCCTGATAAGGCCCTGTGGTCCCGTGGAAGGTGACCCTGGGTTCAGTTCTCACTTGATCTGGCCCATAGGGAGGAAAGCGAGGTTAGGTATTAGTGTGTCTTTCCTCTTTTTCTTCTGGGCTTGAAGACTTTTTTTTAATTGGTCAAACTTTGATAAAGGTCAGTTGAGATCAAATCATTTCAATAGCTTTCTTTTTTTTTTCTTCCTTTTTTTGGTGACATTTCCCTTTGGCTCACAAAAATAAGTTTTGAAACAAATTACACCTGGGGAAAACTTCCTCCTTTTACAAGGCCACCAGGTGAACTAAAAGAAAGGAGAAAAGTCAGCCAATATATGCCAACAGCTCTTAGCTGGGGAATCATTAAAGCTGGGTCAAGGAACTGCATTCGGTGTAAAAAAAAAGACAGTAGAGCTTTGGGAGATGTAGACCTTGGCCTGCTCGGCTCTTTGCTCACCAGTGCGAAACTGGTGAGTCTGAATAATGGGCTAAAGCACTTGTGTCATTACTTGGACCTTGTGAGCAGAGAATTGATACCAGTTGTATATCAATGTCTGGCTTACCCCAAACCTCCTGGGTACTATTCTTCATCTCTGGGAAATATATGAGTATGAGAGCGACTGAGTAGGGCTCTTGAATTAGCTGCAAATAAATGACATTCATGAGCAATCAGAGGTGGCCTTTTACTGGTTAGCACACCTCTGTGTTCCGTGCTGCTCGACTCTTAGCCCTGACCACCAGTGTAAGCGTCTAAATGGGGACCTGGTGGCCACATGCTTGTGAGGTAGGTCGTATCTGCAGGAGAGCCACAGAGAGTGTTTCCACCATCTCTCTGCAGTCTTCTATCACCAGATGCCACCCTCACTCGCCACCAGGTGCCAGTGGCCTCAAGGAAGACCTCAGTGTAGATGTTGGAAAGCTGAGTGGAGACAAAGTTTGGATCAAGTGCTCCAAAAAGAAACATGAACATCCTCAAGGCCAGAGTGGTCTCAAATGTTAGAGATCCTGGTTAAATTAGGGGTGGGTTTCTCCATATGCTCCCTGTAAAATTCTTATTCACAATGTCTAACGCAGGGCTCAGGAATCTTCCTTTTTTTGGGTGGAGCAGGAAGATGTTCACTGGGTATCTCTAATCTGGGTGTTCTCACATTGCCATGCGAATCCACCCTTTGTCCTGTGGACTGAAAAGGTGCTGAGTGATAGTAGATTCTTGAAGGTAGGGTTTCTCGGGAAAGAAGAGGAAAGAATATAGTTTGTCAATCGTGGTTTCGACTCCTCCCTTCTAGAAAAGTCCTGCCACCTCTAACTTTCTGAACCAAGTCCATTGCAAAGTGAAGTAGTCAGCAGTTAAGATGTTTACATTCAGCATTGAAGGTTGTAATGCTGCTGATGTATTAGAAAGGGTAGAGGGGCAGATGTGTGTGTGTGTGTGCGCGCACACACGCACATGCACGCGCGTGCACACACACGCAATGTTTAAGGTCAGGTCTCCTGAGCCAGAGATCTTAGGTGTAAATCACACCTCCATAGTTTGTGGCATTTACATAATCCCTTTGTGTCTTAGTTTCTCCATCTGTGAAATGGGGATAAAATATAACTTGTCATGTAGGGTTGATATAAGAAATGAATAATAGGCACAAAACAGAGCAGCTCCTGGCACACAGGAAGCACTTACTCTGTGGCACCAGAGAGCCTCAGGCAATTCTCCTAAGGGGAAACTTAAACCCAACTGGCTCTTTTAAAGCTTATAGGCAAGGCTTCAGAAAGTGGGAGCTACACAGAGTCCTGATGTCATGCATGAGCCCTTTGGGTACTGTCTATGTGCAACATGATCCTGGGCACTGGAGGGGATAGAATAAATAAGCCATCAGGGTTGGTCCTTTCTCTCAAAGTTGCTGATTTTCTAGTGGAGAGAGAACAGAGAACCTGTGCTAGGAAATTGATAGAGAGTTGGGGAGAGAATGTCGCAGGGCTCAGACTGGGCTCAGTATGGAAGTGATCAGCCTTCTGGTACTCTTAACTCCTGTCCCAGCAGGGGACAGGTGATGGACTCTCCTTTGGGATTTGAGGGCAGATGCTTTTGTAACATAAGAGCAAAATAGGCTCTATTTCCTGGCACGAATTTCCCCTCCATGACTATGCTTCCCAAAATTACAGCATGATTTTCTTTAATCTAGTGCTCTCTGGTAGAGGCAGATGAGGGGGACACAGAAGGCTTTGGAGGCATTGTCCTCTCCTGGTTGGCTCTGGGCCTCATGGTGTGAGGACCCTTGTTTCAAACCACTTCAACTTTGACAAGGCAGAGCAGGGATCTTCCAAAGCTGCAGAGTTCCTCCACCTCCTCACTTGGTGTTTTGTTTGGCACGGGGCTAGGGGTTTGGGGCATGGTAGCTATCACTTTGGCATTCTTCATTTAGAGTTATGTGGCAGTATATGGACCGAGGGCTTGTCCTCTGTAAAGATACCAGGTAGGAGACCGAAGTTGTTTACAGCTCTCCCTTCCTGAGTCCTGGGACTGAGTTATAAGCATAATTGAACCATCAAGGATAACAGGCATGGAGGAAATCAGTCACCTCTCACACGTTTACAATTAGAACTTGTGTTGTTCCTCAACACTTTCCCCATGCTGACTTCCTCCTCGATCCACCCACTGTAGAGACCCTGTTTGAGCCCTTATGGATGACTGTTAACTCTTTCAGCTCTCAGATTTTAATAGGCAAACAACCTAAATTATGAATCAGAATGGAATAACAAAGGATGCAAAATAGGCCATTGAGCCATAAAGGGCCTTTGACATCAGAGCCCTCCTTGAGAGGATGAAGAGCTCTGTGGGCAAAGATCTGTCTGAGAGCAGCCATGAGGTGAGAACTCACCGGCCTCCCATTGGGCTGCTTGACCTCAGCAATGCTGGTGATTAAGATGAGAGATGATAGAAAAATATCACTGTTCTCTTTATTGACCTTGAGAGGCCTGTCCCAAGATCCAGACCTGCCGTTATTATCTTATGTACACATCTATGACTTGGTTACCCTCTTCAGACACTATATTAGTAAGTTGAACTTCTGTTGACATCCTTGACCTTATACTCTCCTTATTTAGCTGTCTTTCTTAGGGACCCTCAGAAATTTAAATAAAAGTAGAATTGACAGCCATGGGGATTCAATGGGAAATAAATGAGATCATTTTGGCAGGCCAATCAAGTAATTTTGGTATCCCTAGTGGTCTCTAAATTAGGACAGCAACTATTCAATAAATGGACCATTAAGTTGGAAATAGAAACTTCAGCATTTGTTAGACATTGATGGACATTAGCTGGTTGATGAGGTTTAGCTGGTTATGAATACATTTAGAAAAGAATATCAAGTTCTAAATTCTTTGAGGCAGGTGTCATAATGTGGTTAGAATATGAAGTTGCTGGGATGACACTGGCTTTTTCATAGATTTATTAGGTATAAAGTGATCCCTTGGGAGGAGGGATGCAGCACATTAACAGATTTCACCACTGTGCCACTTTCCTTGGGAGGACCTTGTATTCTGGGCCTCAGGAGCCTTTGGCGAGGGCTGGTTTCTTCACATGGAAGATGTGACCCTCTATAATCCCCAGTAATACAATATCTTTGCCAAACTTGAATAGATTTCTTTTGTAGTGGTGAAAGGAAAGAAACTAAAAATATCTTGACTGTTTTAGCTGTCCTTTGGCTGCTTCAGAGCAACTTTGACAACGAAAGTTTCCCTCCTTAATGAGGGAATCTTTCCTCAGAATGAGCAGTGTGCCACCAAGAATGATCTCATGCCACAAAGATTTGTCATTCCAATGTGGACACACCCTCCAATGTGTTGAACTCAGACTTGCAGCCCAGAAAGTGCGCACAAGTGCCTTAATGGCCAGCTCATATTTATCTGTAGTGCTCTTTTTTTAGTGTTACTGGAAGCTCCATGAGCACCAAATGTCAATCAGACATGTATCTGAACAGAAGAGAGGAAGTCTCAGCCATTGGGCTAAATTTTCCTGCAATCATTTCTTCCAGAATGTTCTAGAAGACTACTATTGGTGTGACCCCTATGTTTCATGGTGGCACCAGTCTCTTGGACTTACTGGACCCCAAGAAAGTCCAGAACTCCCTCCCCCTCCCATGCGTACTTTTTTTTGGCAGGGGGACATCACATCTGCATGATATTGGCCAAGATGGTTCTTCTTAGACCTACTGAAAATCTAAAAAATTTAGTCAACAACTGGAATATCATTTCTTCCTGAGTATTTCCCCAGGTGACCAGGTAGGCAGAGGCAAACCAATTTGCTGGTATTGGCTAGTCCCCGTTTTCTGGTAGCTGTTGCATTTGGTTTTAAAAGCAAAATTGAGGCTTGTCAGTGTTTTCTCTACCAAGTGGCTATTATTTTAATGACTGACTGTCCTGAAAGTAGTTTGGGGCTCCCAGAGTATGGAGGTGAGCATCCCTATGCATTGAGGCTTTGAATGAAGGCAAGGCTCTAACCTGCAGGACAGACTAGATACTTCCAGTGTGAAAATCTGTGCCTAGAACCAGTGACCTACTCTAACCCAGCTTTAAATCTGGTTTTGTTTTACTCACTGTACTTTTTTCAGCTCATAATGAAAGGCAGAAAAAAATGCCTTCATTTATATGTGTATCATTTGGGGAATTCTGATTTAGAAATCCATGGCATGGTAGACTGTCAAAGAAACAAAATCCTCAGTAGATGTAAGGTTGAACACCACAAATACTCAGTTTGAGGACTTTTTACTACCATTTTACAGAAGAAGGAGTCTGAATCTGTCCTAACCTGTGTCTATGGCATGCGTCTTACTCAAAGGCAGTGAGTTCATTGCCTCTGGTTAGGTGGCCTCATCAGCAGCCCTCAAGTCTTGGGCCCATCATCCTGGCATGAGGTCCCTCTTACTGGAGTTGACAAGAGGTTCCATTTTTTGTTAACCACATTAGCTGATCAGATTGCCTGTGGAATCATTTCTCCATGATTTGGTCCTGTAGTTGCTAACTCTTGCCTGAAGCTGGAGTGAGTGCCGAGGATTTCTGTGGCTGGATCAGATGGCTGGGCTGTAGGGATGATGGACGGGAGGTGGGAAAGTTCCATTCCCTCCGTTAGCAGCCGGCACCCGACACTCCCCTTCCCTGTGAGCAAAGAACCCAGCTCTGCACCTTTCCAGCTCTCCTTCTCTTTCCTTTGTCTTTTCCTTCTTGTGACCCAGTTAGCCGCCCATGTGGCCCAGAGCCTAATCAGGGAAGCCAGGGAAACTGGGACGATGTGGAGATGGGGCTACAGAGCCCAACATGAGCTGCACTTGACTCTCAGCCTATTCGTCATTTCTCTTTTCTGAACCTACTTCATAAAGTATATGCGTCATAATGTAATTGAGGGGGTGAAATGAGATCTTCCATGAAAAGAGCTTAGCCAAAAGAAAACACTCAGTAAATGTTGCTTATTCCTGTGACCATTATTATAATGATTACTGTGAGTGTAGAGGATGTGTCTAGGACATGGCGTAATTAGAGGAGCAAAAGTGCCTGTCTTCCCTCTCTTTTCCATTATTGATCAGATTATGCCTCATGTATTTTAAATGTCCCAGATTATCACTCCTCCCTGTTTTAGAAAAATGTTGGAAAACAAGCAGGTCTGTGTGGTTTTCTACTTTTGCTAAGTATCTCAAAGCTCTTTTCTCTGAACACGGGAAACGCTCAGCTGTCGCTTCGAGCCAGTGGCCTCCAGGTCATGCTAAGGAGAGAGAAGAGATCACTGCAGACGACATGCACCTTAAGCAGTCTGTACCTTGCTGCACGGAGCAATCCAATAGGCTATGGCGAGAAAAGGGAGGCCTAGGGAGACTCCAAAGACAGCCAGGAATTTCACAGCGATAGACTGTTGACGTAAGCCTGAGAGATTTTCATACCACATGGTAAGCAATTGCTGCTGACAGTTAGGATGAGCAACGAACTGTAAAAACAAAACAAAAACAAAAACAAAACGCAAACAGGAAAATGGCATCGGTAGCACTTGAACAGTATACGACCTACGAGTGGCTAGGGGCTGAGGTGTTTCACCTGGGGCGTGGCTGGGGCGTTAGGGGAGAGCTGCGGGCAGGTCCCCGCGGGGCCCTTCTGGCCTGAGGATGCTGGGTGTCATGGCGCTGAGGTCAGAGGCCTCACAGGACCGGCCGCATCGGGGCTTGGCACTTAGCTTAGGCAGAGTTCACTTGTGAGGCAGCCCGAGTCATGAATGGAGCATGAATGGGGTTTTGGAGTCCCAGTGGTCTGAAATTTGCTCCTCTGTTTTCTAGCCAGGTGACGTTGGGCCGCTTACCCAGCTCCTGTGAGCTTCAGTATCCCGTTTGCAGAACAGCCTATTATTGTCTTGTAGGATTAAATGAGTCTGTAGAAGTGTTCCCGTCTCTTTTCCTGTACTGGCTAGGGAAAGTACTTGCAGTGTTTCTGGAGGAGACATTAAAACTGAGTGTTTCCCCACTGGGCTGTAGCGGCGTTGGCTTGGATGCATAGAACCTCTCATGGCCTACCAGAGTACTGACCCGTGGTGTCCCTCACACAGCAGCTTCTCACTGCTACCTCCCTCTCTTCAAACTGCCCTGTCCTAATGCCCGGGTTACAGGACAGACTTCTTGTGCCTGTTTGGTATTGTGTGACCTCATCCCTTCTGGATATCGCTTATTGGAGTAGGCGTGGAACCCTGACTTCAACTGGCCTATCATTTTCTCTCACCTGGGCCTTTGAGACTGACTGAGAGAGGCAGTTTCTTTATTTACAAGTTAACAAGTGATCTTGGGAGAGGTGGGCAACCATGTTCCTCTGTATGGACTAAGTGGCAAAATGAGCCAGTTAAAAAGAAGAATGAAAATGTGCAGAAAGAGGCTCAGATAGTGTGTGCCCTCTCTTGGGCCTGGCTCCACTCTGCCCACGTGGTACATGAGACATGCTTTTATTCATATAGGGAGTCTTCCTCGTTCTGCTCCATCCAGCAAGTTGGCTTGAGCTGCTGCAGCCAAACAACCTTTTCCTGCAAATATTTGGTGCCATCTGGCCATTTGTTTAGTTGATTTTGAGTGGAAATGGATAATAGGCAATATTTAAGTAAGATTTATGGGAATGAAGTTGACATGTAAAAAAATTTTACTCATTAGCTTATGTTCCCCTGTGACAGGAGGAAGCTTTTCAGTGCTTTTGGTAGCCCTATTCTTTAGCCCTACTCAGGAGAGCCTTGCATCCATGGACTGGAGCAGACACACTGGGCATTCTTCAAAGGGTCTGACTTTTCATCTGATGACTCTAGAGCATAATACACCAGTTTTCATCCCATTTGCCTCACTGGTATTAAGGGGACATGTGCAATGATTATGAGGAAATGTAAAAACATTTCCTTTTCATTATAAGAATAATGTAAATACAACAGTTTTAAAACATTCTCAGTGCAAATGGCAGCATGTTCTTGTTTCCAGTTTCTGGGAACTCAAGGCAGCAGCCAGGCAATGTGTGAAGACACTATCAAAGGTTTATGTGGCCATGCGGCAGCCCCCGATAATACTATTCCTCAAACATTAGTGAGAATGAAGCTTTTTTGGTAGCGTTATTGAACCCACAGCAACCATTGTGGTCTTGCCCTCTAAGGACAAGAGCAGTGGATTCTCCTCAATGTAGGGTAGGATTCCTCACGCCAGCAGGTGATAGGCTTTTCTTTCTTTTTCTTTTTTTTTTTTTTTTAAAGATTTTATTTATTTATTTGAGAGAGAGAGAACAAG